CTCCTGCGATGGCGCCGGCTTCGGGGGCAATCAGGAAGCCGGGCAGTGGGTAATGACATGCCGAACGGCTTCCTGATTGTCCGGGAAGCCGACTCCATGTTGTTTGGCCGGCCTGATTGTGACTGGCCAGGAAACTAGCTTCCCAGCCAATCAGCATCGAGCCGGCTTCCCGGACAATCAGGAAGCCGGGCGGCGAGTATTGACCCGCCTCCCAGCTTACTGATTGGCCGGGAAGTGGGTTCCATGCTGATTGGCTGGAAAGCTGGCTTCCCAGCCAATCAGCATCAAGGCGGCTTCCTGGCCAATCATTACTCGCCGCCCAACTTCCTGTGCTCCATGTTCCCATACGGCACTGTCGGTCAGAGGAAATCTGACCTGCCTGTTTAGCCGACTCGATCTTAATTGACTGGCAAGTCTGACTCCCGGGCCAATCAGCAAGGAGCCGGATGTTCGGCTGGCCCGATGCTGAGTGGCTGGGAAACCAGCTTCCCAGCCAATCAAGGAGACGGGTCATTACTCGCCGCCCAGATTCCTGATGGCACCGGAATCTAGATCCATGTTCCTATACGGCACTGCCGGGCACAGGAAGACTTCCTCGGACCGGAAGTTCCGGTATAGGATCTTTTGGGCGAGTACTCGTCCAAATACTCGGTATCGGCACCGATACTAGTATCGGTATCGGTGCATCCCTAGTGTGCAATATTGTTTGAAATTCTCCCGTGCGAATCTGCACATAAACTTGTCCGGATTGCGGATCTTGTATCCGCAGTATTCACCTTGAACACAAGGTAACAGAGAACCCAAACCCCGTCCCTATGTGTCACCCCGTAACAGGAAGCTCCCCAAACAAAGACCTTCATGGCAAGATGGATTGTACTGACGTGACCAACAGCCTGGGCGCCTCAAGAAGAGACTGTAGGGGACCGGTCACACAACGTGGAGGAAGGATGCCGGAGCAAGGAATACAACTCAAAATGTACATATAAAAAAGGTCTCCATCCAAAACACAAAGCGGGAGAGTCCTAAGTGCCTTTAATTGTTGGTAATACCATCACATGAAAGCAGCCAACATATTTGGAGGTCACAAAAGTCCCCCTTCATCAGGGCTTAGAATAATAGAATGGGGACTTGAGGGAAAATCAAATGGATCCATAGTTGGTGCAAAACCTCAGTTTGGATCGAAATTCTAGAGGTTTTGGTGACCAATTGTATCACATGGAGGAAGGTTCCGGAACGAGGAATAAGGTGAGTATTACAGCTCATTCCTCAACTCACTGACGGAATGAGCAGGTAACCCCTGCAGGGTGCGTTGCACTTTCTACTGAATGATGAAGTGTTCTGTGTGCAGTGTCCGGGGTGTTCATGGCAGACTCACTGAAATGGTAACACTCTTGTTTTATGACCTCCACAGATAAACCATGTCTGCAGGAAATCAGGAAGCCCAGGAGGAAGAACTGCTAGCCCTCAGCAGTATATACTCTGAAGATGAGTTTAAGAGAGCTGACACTGCTCCAGGAGGGGAGATCAAAGTGTGTCTGGAACTTCCCCCAAATTTTACAGTATCTGTTAAATGTAAGTGAGATAAAATGCGCGTATTACGTCTAGACTGAACGCTTACTAATGTGTGTACTAAGCTCATGGCTGGTATGCTGCAACTGAATAAACGGTTTATACAGCAATAGATCCACCTTCTAATGGTATATAGCCGCCTTTCTCAACTAGGGTTCCTCCAGAAGTTGTTAGGGGTTCACTGAGCACTGAGCAGTGGTGGACGGGTTTGGCTTTGTCTGCAGAGGACTGGCACCAACAATAATCGGCAGAGCCAGTGGTGTGGGCTCGGCTGAGCCTCTTATTTCTCAGGTAAATAACCACTGTCACCATTGGTCTTTTTAGCTGTGTGTAAAAGGAGAGCCTCTCATATCAATATAAGGGGTAACGTTTCCTACTGACCACCAGTGTAAGGGGTTCCTTCTTCTACTGACCACCAGTGTAAGGGGTTCCTTCTCTCACTGACCACCAATGTAAGGGATTCCTTCTCTCACTGACCACCAATGTAAGGGATTCCTTCTCTCACTGACCACCAATGTAAGGGATTCCTTCTCTCACTGACCACCAATGTAAGGGATTCCTTCTCTCACTGACCACCAATGTAAGGGATTCCTTCTTCTACTGACCGGCAATGTAAGGGGTTCCTTCTCTCACTGACCACCAGTGTAAGGGGTTCCTTCTCTCACTGACCACCAGTGTAAGGGGTTCCTTCTCTCACTGACCACCAATGTAAGGGGTTCCTTCTCTCACTGACCACCAATGTAAGGGGCTCCTTCTTCTACTGACCGGCAATGTAAGGGGTTCCTTCTCTCACTGACCACCAGTGTATGGGGTTCCTTTGGGGTTCCTTCCCTCACTGACCACCAGTGTAACGGGTTCCTTCTCTCACTGACCACCAATGTAAGGGGTTGCTTCTATCACTGACCACCAGTGTAAGGGGTTCCTTCTCTCACTGACCACCAATGTAAGGGGTTCCTTCTTCTACTGACCGGCAATGTAAGGGGTTCCTTCTCTCACTGACCACCAGTGTAAGGGGTTCCTTCTCTCACTGACCACCAATGTAAGGGGTTCCTTCTTCTACTGACCGGCAATGTAAGGGGTTCCTTCTCTCACTGGCCATCAGTGTAAGGGGTTCCTTCTATCACTGACCACCAGTGTAAGGGGTTCCTTCTCTCACTGACCACCAATGTAAGGGGTTCCTTCTTCTACTGACCGGCAATGTAAGGGGTTCCTTCTTCTACTGACCTCCAATGTAAGGGGTTCCTTCTCTCACTGACCTCCAATGTAAGGGGTTCCTTCTCTCACTGACCACCAATGTAAGGGGTTCCTTCTTCTACTGACCGGCAATGTAAGGGGTTCCTTCTTCTACTGACCTCCAATGTAAGGGGTTCCTTCTCTCACTGACCTCCAATGTAAGGGGTTCCTTCTCTCACTGACCACCAATGTAAGGGGGTCTCTTCTACACTGACCACCAGTGTAAGGAAACAGGAAAGCCCTGCGTGTGATAGCTTATAATGTTCTTTTAATAATCTCATTGTCTTTAGCCGACGCTGCCACAAACTCCATACTGGAAAGCTTTGAGGACATAGTTTTGTTTCTACCACCAATTGTCCTGAACTTTGAACTTCCTCCAGGATACCCCTCCACTATGTGCCCCATCTTCACACTCAGCTGCAAGTGGCTTTCGCCGGCACAGGTACAGCATTCACTCATAGAATGTCAAGATATGATTTTACAGCTGCCACTATTTCCCCTCAGAGATTATGAGCATCTTTGGAGTTACGTCACATAGTAGATCCCGTGCTTTGGTTAGACATTGAGAACATGAAGAATCTGTTCAGCTCTCTCTTGCTTAAAGCGTCAAGCCAAGTAAAACATCATTCTTACATCTCTGCAATGGATGCGCATTTATCATTGTATACATGCTGCATACACAGAAACATAATTGGAGGTAGGCCAGAAATATAGCATGTGACTTCCTTCCTCTGTGACAGGAAAACACCGAGCTTTTGCGGTATAACCAGAAGCCGCACTCCATAGACCTTCTAACTTGAATCCACACTTTATTACTGATACACCATACAAACGCTCCCCAGACCCCCTCACTCGTTTCACCTCCAAGGTTTAATCATAGAGAAACTCATCTCTATGATTAAGCCTTAGAGGTGAAATGTGTAAGAGGATCTGGGGAGCGTTCGTATGGTGTAACAGTAATAAAGTGTGGATTCAAGTTAGAAGATCTATGGAGTGCGGCTTCTGTTTGTACCGGTGTTACTACAGGTAAAAGCGCACCTTTTCTTTGCCAGCACCCGAGAGACCTTCGTTGTGGGAGACATTTCGAAGCACGTGGTGTCAGCCCTGCCTACTTCATTTCTGATACATTGCAAAGAACACAAACCTCTTCTCCCCCCCGCCCCTTAATCATCACCATAACCCATTCTCATCCCTCACCCTCTCCTTATCACCATAACCCCCCATCTCCTTCCTTCTACTCATCTTCATATCCCCTCCTCTAATTCATAACCCCTACTCAACTCAATTAGCCCTTCTCATCTCCATAACCCTTTCTCTTTACCATAACCTCTCCTCCCCCCTCCCTTTCCTCATCTCAATAACCCCTTTTCATCTCCATTATACAGCATTATCTCCCCCCCTTACTTCTCATCTCCATTACCCCTCCTCACCTCCATTACCCCTCCTCATCTCCATCACCCCTTCTCATCTCCATTACCCCTCCTCACCTCCATTACCCCTCCTCATCTCCATTACCCCTCATCTCCATCACCCCTTCTCATCTCCATCACCCCTCCTCATCTCCATTACCCCTTCTCATCTCCATCACCCCTTTTCATCTCCATTACACCTTCTCATCTCCATTACCCCTCCTCACCTCCATTACCCCTCCTCATCTCCATTACCCCTCATCTCCATTACCCCTCCTCATTTCCAAGGGAGGGAGCACCAACTGATTGAGGGACAGCAGGTGAGCGATCTACATCATTCTTGCCTAGGTGAGGAATCTGGAAGTGGCGGGCTGCACAGAGGTATAAAAGGTATTTACTAAGAAAAATTAAGTCTGCAAATGTGTAATGGGGGAGCAGAAGAAGGAAAGTACATTCTATAGTACAAGGTCCACTTTAGGCATTTATAACACCTCCATAGTCTGGGCATTGGAATTGGAAGTAGACAGAATACTGATATGAAATACAATTCTTTAATCCTTTTTGCGCTTGATATTTCAGCTTACGTCTCTGTGCCGGCGTTTAGACGATCTATGGGAGGAGAACAGAGGATATGTCGTCTTGTTTGCCTGGATGCAGTTTCTTAAGGAGGAGACGCTCGAGTATTTGAATATAGAATCACCTTATGAAATTCAGCTTCACAATGATGGAACCCAAACCTTGATGGAGACCGATGAGAAGGAAAGTCACTGCAATGCCACAGCTTCGGCCACTCCTGAGGGGGGAGCAGTGGACGGGCGCGCTATACAAGATGCCCAGTCTGTGTCTGCACTCATCAGACACATATCGGACTTTAATGAAAGCCAACAGAAGAAATGTTTTGACAGCAAACCGTACTTATGCAATATCTGTTTCTCTGACAAGCTGGGCAGCGAGTGCACGTATTTTAATGACTGCAGCCACGTTTACTGTAATGGCTGCCTTGGAGACTACTTTGAGATTCAAATCGTGGAAGGGCAGGTCCGTGCGCTGAATTGTCCCGAGTCCAAGTGCACGTCAGTTGCTACACCTGCTCAGGTAACCTGTTTATTTTATTCTTTGATGTTGAGACTCCATACTTGCCATGCGGGCATCAATTTATGATGGTTGATGTACCGAAGCCAGTTGCTATGGCATTTCTATCTCACAACTTACACGCAGAGCACATTAAGTAGATCCTACTACTTAAAGGAGAACTATGGGGTTAAGGTTTTTCCCCATAGTTCTCCTTAGGGTAACGGGAGGACACAAACTAGCGTCCTCCCATCACCCTCGGCTCAGTATAGCTCGCGGTATACTGAGACGCTGCAGCTGAAGCGGATCCCGACAATTGTGCTGGGATCCGCCCAGCTGCGTGACTGACAGCTGGCTCTGCCTCTCTAGACCAGTCAGCGCTGGTAGATCGGAGCGGGGAGGGGGGAATCCAGTCCCTCCCCTGTCACGGCAGAGAGCCGTGACAGGATCGAGAGGTGAGCAAACGCCGCTATGTGTTTGCTCACTTTCCGATCTACTGAGCCGACCTGTGACAGTCTCATTGTCACAGGTCGGCTAGAACTATGAGGCGGAGTGAAAAGCACTCACCTCATAGTTCTCCTTTAAGATCCTCCAGCGCAGAGCTGCATAGAGGTTACAGGGCTGGTGCAGTGATGCCTACCCATCGGTTCCTTGTAGGGATGCACCACAATTAAATGTTTAGACCGAAACTGAAAATTACTTTTTTTTTTTCCAAATTTTTTTTTTTTTTTTAAATAATTTTTTTGAGTTTTATTTTTTTTAAACTGTTATTGTATAAACAGATCCCTGACATTTCCTTTTTAAAATAGAAAAAGAGATTGGGGGGCCGGTTCACACCAGTGCGATCTGAAAAAATGCTGCATGCACTATTGTTTCAGATTGCAGTGGACCGGAACGCATACACTGATGGCGATCGCACTGCAGGCGGGGGGCATTGCTGCAGTGCCATTGACTTCCACGCACAAAAACACACCCCCACCTGCCCCTGAACGCAGGAAGCCGGCCGGGATTCACTCCAGTGCGTTCCAGCAGCGAATCATGTTGGAATGCACCGGTGTGAACCGGCCCTGAGGACACAGAGCCCCCAATCTCTTTTTCTGCAGCTCTGAGTACAGAGGCTTCCTGTTCATTTACAGTCTGGAGATAGTAAATGTTTGCTATTAACCCAGACCTTTATACTGAGCTGCTTCCTGTTCGTTCATACAGTGAACAGATAGTAAATATTTACTATGTCCCCATTCATAAATGAACAGGAAGTGATGTATAGCTCTTCCTGTTCAATCATAACTGGAGATGTATTAATTACTATGTCTTCAGTTATTTACAAACACTGAGTGATCAGTACTGATCGCTTAGTGTTTGTGCTCCGCTCTCCATCCTTACTGCTCCACCCTCTCCTGCCTGTCACGGGAGCCGAGTTATCCTCCCCTCACTGCCCCACTCAGCCTCTTGCCAACTTCTCTTCTCCCTGCTGGACACCGTCAGCCGGACCGGCTCTGTGTCCCCCTAGAAGTCAGTGGCTGTACGTGGCTTTAGCCAGGTATACTCGGGTAAGCATGCATATGGAAATACAACCCCTGGATGCAGACAGTATGTAATGCATATTGCTTTACACATTTACATTATATGGACCCCAGGCATCCGTGTACAAGACTCCAGATTTTAGAGTTACTATTCTGTGAATGGTGTAATTGTAGATCCAGAAAGCAGTTGATATTAATACTCCATAAAAGTGTCAATTTGTGTCCTTTGCAGGTAAAAGATCTGGTAGGGGAGCAGTTGTTCAGCCGCTATGATCGTCTCCTTCTTCAGTCCACTTTGGATATGATGACCGATGTGGTGTATTGCCCTCGCCCAGGGTGCGAGACGGCCGTAATGCAAGAGCCAGAGGGCACAATGGGTATTTGCACAAGCTGCCAGTATGCTTTTTGTACCCTTTGTATGCTGACCTACCACGGACTCTCCCCATGCAAAGGAACAGAATGTAAGTCTATGTTGGCTTTGTAACGAAGATATGATGACGTTTAGGGATGCTGTTAGGTTCGCTTTTTGCTTCATGGGCAGCTATGGCAAGATACTTAAAGCTGAACTCCGGCCACTCAAACTCTTATTTAAATATATTATCCAATAATCACAAAGAGGGGAATTCATCAAAACTGGAGCAGACAAAATCTAGAGAATGACCCATTTTCTCTATGATATGCTTTGTTCTTCTCTCTTGTTTTGCTGGTGCTGGGCTCTAAGGTAGTGGTAGGCAACCTCAGCACTCCAGCTCTGGTGAAACTACACGAGTATATACTCGAGGTGCATCAAAATGAAAATTTCAAAACCGAAATAAAAAAAATTGTCAGGCCGAAACCGAAAATGTTTTTTTTTTTTTTAATATTTAATTTTTATTAAATATTTTTATGTTTTACTTTACTTTTAGGGGCTTTGGGGAAATATTAGGGGTCTAAACAGACCCCTAATATTTCCCTTTTAAAATAGAAAAAGAGATTGAGAACACAGAGTCCTCAGAGACACAGAGTCCTCAACCTCTTTTTCTGCAGCCCCTGTTATCAATGAACAGGAATCCTCTATGCTGAGTGTTCCTGTTCATTCATAACACGAGGGCTTGGCATGTTTACTATAACCACAATCATGAATGAACAGGAAGTGATGTAGATCACTTCCCATTCATTCATAATTGAGACTATAGTAACCATACTATGTCCTTCAATATTTACAAACACTCAGGGATCACTGATCGCTGAGTGTTTTCACTCGCTCTCCATCCTGACAGCTGTCACAGGAGGGTGAGCAAGCGGTGTGGGAGGAAAGACGCCGGCCGCTCACAGCGCTCTCCTCCCGCAGCACTTGGCCGCCTGTGACACTTTCTCTCCTCCCCGCTGGGACACAGAGCAGCACCCAGCGGGGAGAAAAGAAAGCAGGGATGCGCCGCTGTATCGCCAGACAAATGGCACTTTCGGCATTAAGCCAAAAGTGCCATTTTCAGGCCGATATGTTTCTGCGGTGCATCCCTAATAATTATGTTCTCGGTGCTGCTTAACTAAAGTATGCCGGTAATAGGAGATTTTACCCAGGACTGGCCTACAGTTTTTTTTGTTTGCCAGTGTCCAATCCCTCTGTAGGCGGCAGTATAACCTTAGCGCACATGATGTCCCCTGTCCTTCAATGGAAAAGGATTTTATAGTGAGTACAACAATCCTATTTATGTGAGTGCGCCTTTCACTGATTTTTCTCTCATTTAACAACTCCCTGGCATTCAAATATTTCATTCTTAGCACTGTCGGTGGTGATATAATGTCGCTGGAAGTTTGTTGTATGTGGTTTCAGTGTTATAAAACCGCATACACTGTAATCATATTATAATGGGAATTCATAGCGGTTTTATATTCCTCTTTTCTTTCTTTGCATCCTATGTTTGTAAAACAAAGATTTCATATACATAGGGAAAAAAAATATATAAAATATCAGTTTTCAATCTTTTACATATTTCTTATGGGCCTGTACGGGCTTTTAAATATTATGGACCGCTTCACGGACGCAATTTTTAACCTCGTCATGTTGGGTATCTATTTACTCGTCATAACCTCATCTTTGGGGTATTATATTGTGGTTTTTAGGCACTAAAATTACCTAGAGTGTATTTTTTACTTACATTTTGGGTTTGATAAAGAGTCGCGCTAATATCATGCAATGTAAAAGCTTGCAACTGCCGCTATTTTAAGGGTCTGTGCTTTCAGAATGTATATAATATTTTGTGGGTTTTAACCACCTCCCGTCCATGGCCGTTCCTTGTAGCCTTGTAGGAGCGGGATACCGTCTTAAGACGTCCTTCCCCTCCCCCCTGCTCGTGTGCGGCGCTCAGCGCGCACACGAGTGTGGAAACTGTCAGAAATGTAAACAGCCAGTGATGGCGGTTTACATTCAAGCGATCGGGCGTCTCTAGAAACGCCCGATCGCTTGTAGTAGGTGCGGGTGTGCATCCCCCCTGTACCGCCACCGATGCCGGTCCCGAGATCCGCTGTGCCGAGTACGGCTGGGACTGGCACGGCAATTCTGTCACTGGTGATCAAAGGGATGCAGTACACGCTCCCCCTCTGATCTCCTCTCTGGTCCCCGATTGCAGGAAGTGATGTATATTACATCACTTCCTGCATTCACTGTCACTTCCCGGCAACAGATGCAGATGGGGAGCTGCTAAAGCAGATCTGTGCTTCATCAGCTTCTCTGGGGGGTCCCTAGGTGACATTAGGGGTCTTGGAGACCCCTGATGTCTCCATAAAGAGGACCTGTTATGTGAATTGGATATCACATAGGGAGCTTAAAAAAAACACATTGGCATTGAAAGGGTTAAAGTAGATGATTGTATATTCATATGAGTTTATATACCTTTGGCAGCTGGCTAAGTTCTAGTAGTTGCCTATTGTAGTCTCCTCTCATTTTTTTCTTTTAGAATGATTTTAACTCAACTCACTAACTTACTTTTTTTAGTAGAACCCGAGGAACCCGCAGAACCCGCAGAACCCACGGATCCTGCACGCAAGAAACGTCGTGATAGAGGTAACCTAACTATTAAGAAGCATGTGATATGAAAGGTCATTTGGTGCTTGGTGACAGCAGAATTTGGGCTTGTGCAGTGCTGGGATCTCTGAAAGCACTGACATACTTGCTCCTGGAGCTTCCAATGTTTAACTGTATAATCTGGGAGGAAGGGAGCACCCCATTGGTGGTGAAGCAGATTCATTCTCAATCATTTGATGCCATATTTTTCTCTTGTTGTACAATTCTTTATCTTTAGCACGATAAAAGGGAACCCAGAAAGCTGGACATTGTTTTTAATTTGGGCTTTTCATAAATTAACATATGTAAGGCCAATCACTAAAATTCCATATACGCTTCAGCATGTTAATGTCATTTTAATATTTTTCATCTGCAGCCTTCATTAAAAAGAGCTCGGTGATCCTGCCACAAAGGCCCTTGTGCACTTCCTGTTATAGAGTGACAACGCTTCTCCCCATCTCTCAGTTTGTCTCCTTGCTTGACACCATGTTCCACTGGCTTCCCATGGAGACTACAAGTGGCCATTTAAAGTGTCACTAACAATAGTCCCTTAACTATGAACAACAATGTATCTTATTTGTGTATCACTCGGCTGTAGATCCTCCGATCATCTCTGAATTGGTGCTGACACTGTCCTTCCTTCTGGAGGGGGGCTACGTCTGTTCCCCATGGTCCCTGTGTGTGTTGTAATGTAGTCACCTCTCCAAGCTCGCTCCCAGGATGGACTACAAACTCATTATCAGTTTACTAATTTGTATTGAGATTGTAGTCTATCCCAGGAGCGACCTTGGAGCGGTGACTACTTTACAAAACACACAGGGACCATGGAGAACTAAAGTAGGACATTTAGGGGGTCATTCACTTAGCTGCCGAAGGAAGCAGAATGAACAACAAGAGCCGAATGACGTTTGGCTATTCACTCCGGCTCAGTGTGGCTGATTTCAGCCGTACATCGGCTGCCTTTGGCTACCTTGTTCAGCCGAACATACTCTGCATGTTTGGCTGAGTCGATCCAACAAAATTCTCATAGGGGCTGAACGGCAGTGAGTTAATAGCTGAATGCTGCAGAGCGGCATTCGGCTCCGCTGCTCTGCTTGCAACTTTCGAGGTAGTGAGCAAAATAGAAATAAATGTAAATAAATGAAAAAAAAAAAAGGTTTAAAAATGATTTAAATAAATGTAAAAAAATTAGAAAAATTAAAAAAAGTGAAGAAAATAATATACATTTTTTTTGTAAAGAAATGAAAAAAAAAAAACAGTGTGGGGTCCCTTTGCCAAACCATACCCTTTAGGTCTGGTTCGAAAGTTAGGAGGGACCCCATTTAAAAAAAAAAAAAGCATGGGGTTGCCCCCAAAAGTCACCGCTAGCTCCGCCCAACTGTTTCCTATTGGCCGGCACCTACTAGAGTCTTTTAGCAGGTCCCGGGCAATAAAAAACAACTGGGCGGAGCTAGCTGTGACGTCATGGTCGGTTCCGCCCAGTTGTTATTGTTTAATGACAGATCAGCGTCTCCAGGTCCTAGGACCGCACTATATATAGGTGCCTTTGCGCGGCTGTGCGGCTTTCACATTGTCTGCAGAAGACGTGTATCTAAACCTGTAGCGGTGAGACAGGTTTTTTTGCATGCTGGCTGGTGAGTGTGCTGGGAAACTTTTTGCTGTTACTGTTTAAAGCCTTTCCATGTGCAGCTTGCTGTAAAGCTGGTAACAAATTGATGAGTGCGTTTGCCATTTGTTTTGCTTGTCCAGGTCATTTGGGGACGCTGTTCTGTCATTACAACTGGGCGGAGCGAGCTGTAAGATCCCGGCTGGCTCCACCCAGCTGTCATTAGCGAGGAGAAAGGTCGGCCCTTCAGCCATCCTTTCTTCACGCTTTGGCTGTCACTACGGCTCAGCATATGCGTTCGGCTCGGCTGCTGTACGGGCTATTGTCAATAGCCCATACAACAGCCCTTCGTTCGACTGATAGGGCTCAGGCGACCGAAGCGAGTGGAAGGATCAGCTGAAGCCACGGCTGGATCCTTCGGCTCATTAGTAAATAACCCTCTTACAGTGACATTAAACCCTCAGATTTTTTAACATAAAACAATACTGTAATGTGCGCCTTACTGTAATCCATGGTAGTTTCCCTTCTCTTTGCTGCTCTTCCTTTTAAATCCTCATGTCTTCACATGCTGGGGGAGAACTTCCCTTTGCAGCTGAGTGCCTCTTCCTGTAGTGCTGGCTCAGGTTGCAAACCTACACACAGACACCATGTATCCATTCCAGAGACAAGGCAGTCTGCTGCAAAATAGAAGTGCTGCAGAGCATGAGAACAGATACAGATTTAAAAGGAAGAGCAGCAAAGAGAAGGGAAACTACCATGGATTACAGTAAGACGCACATTACAGTATTGTTTTATGTTAAAAAATCTGAGAGTTTAATGTCACTTTAACACGCATTCCACAGGCATGGTCTACTGTTGTCACCATCAGAAAACCCACCCCCAAGACATGCATAGAATCTTTCATGTCATTAATACATTCTCTCATTCATGCAAAGTTACTTATAGAATAGCTCTTTTATAGCATATTGGCGTATGGTTAGTGCTACTGAAGGTTCCCGGTTCGAATCCCTGCCAGGTCAGTATCTGCAAGGAGTATGCATGTTCCCCCTGTGATTGCCCACACTCTAAAGACATGCTGGTAGGATAATTGGCTCTGGTCTAGATTGGACCTGTGCGTATGCATGTGAGATAGGGACCATTGTTTGTAAGTAAAGTGCTGCGCATATTGTGGGCGCTATATAGACACATAAATTATATGCATATATTTTTGTTTATTTAGGTTCAAAGAAGCCATCGACATCGCAGGAAGAGGAAAAGAAGCCTATTGCAAAGGGACTCCGCGCGAAGCGGGCACAAGAATGGGAGAGTAAGAAGTGGATAAAAGAGAACGCCAAGCCCTGTCCTAATTGTAAAGTCAAGATTCATGTAAGTAGCGGAAGTCTGACAAAGGCATACAGGGCAGGATAGAGGCCGGAGAAAGCTTTCAGCCAACTTGTACTCTTTCTTTTTTGGCATCTGTCGTCTGTCCAGCCTTTAGACAGCCGACTTGTAGGCTCAGATTGTGAAGAGACGTAAAGCACAACCATTGTATAGCACTGCAAACCAGAGGACAGGGATTGAATATGGAATGAGCAAGTATGGCTGCACACATAATTACAAACTGTACACAGAAACAAGGTTCCTAAAATCATAGAACAGATTATTACAATATTTTTTAGGGATGCACGATACCGATACTAGTATCGGTGCCGATACCGAGTATTTGGGTAAGTACTCGTACTCGGCCAAATGCTCCGATACCGTTTCCATAACTGGAACTTCCTCTGAGCGGCAGTGCCGCGAGGGAACATGTAGCCGGGAAGCTGGCTCCATGCTGTTTGGCCGGCTTAATGCTGCCCAGCTTGTCGAGGGACTGGTACGGTAATGACTGCCGCTAAGGATCTATTTGAGGGAAATGAGGTGTCTGCAGGGTGGGGGTCGTGTCGCCATACTGTCAGATCTGTTTGGCCGGCCTCAGTGCGATTGGCTGGGAATCAGCATCGAGCCGGCCAAACAGAATGGAGTCGGCTTCCCTGGCAATCAAGAAGCCGGGCGGTGGGTAATGACACGCCTCCTGATTGCCCGGGAAGCCGGCTCTATGCTACCGGAAGTACCGGTATTGGTACTCTGTATCGGCTAATACCGAAATATAAATATTGGTACCCGTACTCAATACCGAAAAACCGGTATCTGTGCATCCCTAATATTTTTTGACATCAAGCCTGAAACATTGGACTGGATTGAGAGGATTAAATCTTTAAGTGGGCTGCATTATGTTTACTGAAGGACGCATCTACTTTATTCCAGAAAAGGGATGATGGTGCTTTAGAATTTACTATTATCATAAACATTGCAATGTATTCATTAGGCTGGGTTCACACCTAGGCGTTTTGAATATGCGCGTTTTTTTACCGCGCGTTTTTTTACCGCGATTCGCGGTAAAAAAAACGCAAGAAAGACGCGCGTTTCCGAGGACTACTTTGCTGTATCCCAATGGAACCGCCCGACCAAAACGCCCCAAAGAAGTACATGTACTTCTTTGGGCGTAGGGCGGTTTCCAGCGCGTTCGTACTTGCGGAAAACCGCCCAGATGGGAACCATGCACATTGAAAATAATGGCATTTCCCTGTTTGAGCGGTTTTCCACGAGTACTAAAGCGCGGAAAACCGCCTAGGTGTGAACCTAGCCTTACAGGTATTTATGTATTGCTGACAATATACACAATGCATTCACATCAGTCCCTGCCCTCAAGGAGCTCACAATCTAAAGTCCCTCTCTCACATGCATACATCTGAAGGCCAATTTAGACAAAAGCCAATCCTTCAGCTTGTCTTTGGAGCGTTGGAGAAACCCAACCAAGCACAGAGAGAACAAACTCCTTGCAGATAGGGACCTGACTGGGATTTGATCCGGTGATCTGGTTCAGTGCTGCAAGGCGGAAGTGCTAACCACTACGATGACTTTGTCAACCAGAGTTTGTTAGAAAGTCCCAAGGCTGCTCCTTACGGAGGGAACTGTCAGGAACCAGAGCAGAACAGGGGACAGGTTCACAAAAATCAGGTATAGCAGGATACCAACATGTGGTATTCTGACATATTTGTATGACGTATGCTAGCCATATGTCTGGCTGGTGTGCTGATCCTAAATCGGTGACTCTGTCTTTCTGATGTGGCCTTATTGCAAGGAGATACATAGGGGGGGGGGGGGGGTGTTCAAAAATGGGGCG